AGAGAGAAATTGGAAAAAAAAAAAGTTATGTTATAGTATATGAAATTAAAAAAAGTTTTTTCAAAATTTAAAATTTCTTTCTTTTTTTCCTTTGAACATTGGAGAGACAAATAAAATTTTAATTGCTCATTAGCTTCTCTCTTCATATTTTAACTTTTCTCACTTTCTTTTAGAATAATAGTCTTTGTTCATTAATTAATTGTTGTATTCCATTTCTTTCATAATTTTATTTGCAGAAATGAAACTTTGACATTTTCAAGTTGTAAGTTTAAAAGGAAAATTTATGATATTTTTAGGAACTATAAATAAAAGTTATTTTGTATTTCCAGACATTTGAAAATGTTTCATTTTCGTCGGAAAACTATTACTTAAATTTTCTTTGCATAAAAATAAGTAAAGTAATGTCATATATAAATCAAATTAATATTTCATATATTTTAAAATAAATACAGAAATGTAAGTTGAGTGATTATTTGATAAAAATAAAGTTAATCAAAGATAAGTTAAGTAAAATATGAAAGAAAAAATTAAGCAAAGAATAAATAAAATTAGCTATAAGTTAAATAAACTATGAGGATAAGATGTAAGTAAAATAAAATAATAAAAAAATAATAATTAAAAATATTGCCTAAAATTTTATTCATATTAAATGTCATAATTAAATTTTAATAGTGGGAAAACTATTTTCTATTAAAAATCATTATTATTATCACTATTATTACAAATTTGATATTTGAAAGAAATTATTATTATTGTTATTATATTAATATTATTATTATTACTATTATTATTATAAATTTAATATTTGAATGAGAATAACCAAACAAATTACTGAAATACAAAATTCGTTTTCTATAGCAAACATATCATATTAAATTTAATTTATTGTATAAAATAGAAACAAAAAAGAAGAAATTTAAATATAATTTTAAAATTTGAAATCATTTCTTTTTAAGTGTTTTTTTTTTTTGAAAAACGTAATATATAAGTAAAAATCTTTTTAATTTATTTTATTATCTTTTTTCTTTGTTTTATAGTACAATTTTTTCCTTTCTTTCCGTTTTTGCAACATGCTTGAATGAATTGAATTTTTTGTTTACTTAAGTTGACACGAAAGAAGAACGATTTTTGTATGCTTAGGTTGACAAGAAGAATGATTGCAGCAAATAAATAATGCAAACAATTTGCGCTTTTTCGTTTGCATTCTTCCATACTTCTTTCCTAGTAAAAATTTCTAGATTTTTCAGATTTTATTTTCAAATTTAGTTTAATAAAATGATATCTAAATAGTTGACAAAGTATTCATATATTGCAATTCGATCCCAAATTTCATTTCAATCAAAAAAAAAAGAAAGCCAATGTTTCTCATCGTTATAATATACGTTAAGCCTAAATTTATCGCTTATTAGTTGAAAAAGGAATTCAATTAAATTTCTCACTCCAATTTTGCTAATCAATGCTTGTATCTGTTATATTATTTCAGTTGAAATTTGTACAAATATTTGACTAAAATTTCACAATTACAATCAAACTTTAATTATTTTTCGATGTAACATTTGTAATTTGAATTTGAGATCTAATCACTTATGACAGTTTTTAATTGGAATCAACGAATAATATAATTTCTTTTTTTAAAATAATCAAAATTTTTTAAATTAAGACTTTGAACAAGTTTTGGAGCTAAAAATAGCGATAAGTTATAATTATTAATTATATGTAATGAGGATAGAGAAAAAATTAAAGAAGGAAATTCAACTTTAAATAAAAAATGATAATTTTCGCATATTATAAGGAATAAAATAGTTAGCAGTAGGTATTGTATAATAAATATTCATATTATTTAGTATAATAATTTATTTCAAAGTTATCTAACAGGAAAAGTAATATAAATATGGTTTCGCATTTATTTTTCAAACAATTCATTTGTTTAATAAATACTTTAATATTTGATAAGTATTTATTGCATTGCATTTTATTTGTTGAAAAATATTAATAGATTAGTGGAGTAATTAAGTAAAAATAATTTCCATAATAGCTTATAAAATTTTTATACTTTTATAAAACTTTTCTTTATTTATATATCTCTTTTATTAAATTATGAAAAGGAAAAAAAAAAAAAAAAAGTTAACTGAAAGAAAAACAGCACTGACATATCATTCATAACAAATTGTTAATAAATATAGAAAAAATAAAGAATGAAAGGAAAAAAAATGATCTATGAAATAAAGTCTTTTCGTTGTTTAGATTAAATTATTATCTTCATTTTATTTTATTTTTTTTTTCCTCTTTCTTATTATTTCAGTTGGTTTATTTTCGGATATTTTTGATGCTTTCTTTCTTTTTTTTTTCTTAAGGCATAAATAAATGTTGAAAATTTATGGTTCATTTGTAGTTGTCGTTTCCTCTTTTTCCTCTTTTTTTTTTTTTTTTTTAAACCAACTGATTTAGCTGATTCATCTGATATGACAGAAATATAGTCAAGAAAAAATGATGACATATTTGAGGCATATTAAAATAATAAACGAAATTCTTTCAAATGAACAATTCATCTCAAATAATTTCAAAATTCATTTCCCATCAATTTACTTTTGCAACAACACAGGATAATATATGAAATTATTAGTATTACATCATAGAATGCAATATGCAAGATTATCTCCTTTGTTTCAAATAATATTTAATATTAGCTAATTAATAATTAACAATTAGTAATTTCTAGCATTACTCAATTTCTATTACATCCAACTATTTCAATGATATATTCAATTATCTTCATTTAAACAGCAGAAACTTTGCGAATGCATTCATTATTAAATCATTATTGTACTTTTATAACTTCAAAAAAAGAAAAAAGAAATTCAACAAATATGCACAATTTTTAAAAATTTCTTTAAAATAAATCTAAATAATGCAAACAGTTTGGATTAAAAAACACATAACAGGACTACAAGCATCCATCAAAAGATAAGCAATACCGGAATAAACCGGAATGAGCCGGAACGAATCATACGATAACACAGTCTCAGGCATATCTGTTTCCCGAAAGAGGAAATTATTGAAAATAAATTGAACTGGAAATAACGATGACGTTTTGGGCCATACGGTCCATCGTTATATTGAGTCACTTTCCAATAACAATTTTTTTTCTCATTGAGATGGCATTGAGTGTGCGTTGGTGCTACTAATCGATCGTTTGTAGTGAAAATTTCATTAAAGATTAAAGATGATTGTATTTATTAGTATTTTTTTGATATTTAAAGATTTAGAATTGACCTTTAACCTTTTACAAAATTAATCTTTCATATGTATTCGTTTACGATTTACCTATACAGAATGTATGTATTGTAAATGTTCATTGTAAAGATTGAAATAATGTTATTTAATCTTTTTTTTTGCTGTAAGATCAGTTAAGAAGTTAGTGAGATATATGATTACTTTATATGCAACTGTTTAGTTTTCAATAATTAACCTTTATGGTTGCCTAAAATTGCTCCATTTTTCAGTCAACGTCCATTTCATAAAAGAGTTGATTCATCGTTTAATGTATTCCATTATCCACAAAAGCTTGAATCCTATTAAATAACTGGATGATAGAATGATTTGTATTTAACAAAATTAATTCTTTGTTGCAAAAATCGATTTGTACAAGTTTTTTTTTTAATGTATGTTTTGACATATGTGAACGCATAGTGATATTACCTATGTTAATGTAGTTGAACGTAATCACTATACATATATTGGAAAACTCACGTGACAGAACATATATTAATGTGTTGATATATATATATATAATTGATTGAAATGTTCGTTCATATAATTCGGGAAGTTTTTGTATGATGGAAAATTCGTATTTTCCTAGTCTAACTGAATTTTCGAAATGAAATTTAAACTTTAATTTTAGGGCAATTTTATTGCTGAATTAACATAAAATTAAAATAAAAAATTTCCATATCAAATTCGAACGTTGTATTTATTTCATTATTTTTATTTCCGTTTTCGATGAATCGTTCTTTTTTTTTTCTCCGAAACCTACATTGTAGATAAGCTGAAGTATAATAGCATATATATGCAATTATATTTGAAGGAAATTCGAATTAAAAAATGTGAAAGCTGATAAATATTTCTTGTATTTTCACTGTTTAGTTTTTGTATCTATGGCCAAATATATATGTATTTCCGTTTATATTAGAGTAATGAAAGCAAAGTTAGGAATTATGTTCTCTGGGAAAAATCATACTATTTGGTGTTTGATATTGAATAAGTATAAAATTGTACCTGGTTTTTATTATTGTTATATTTTGCATATTATTTAATGTTAGCATGCTGTTTTGTCTGGTACTTTTCAAATACCACAGATGAATTCTTATCGTTTGCCGTCGTAATCATACTATTTCCCTTATCTTTCCATCATTCAGCACTCATTTCTTCACTATTCACTTCACTATCACTTCTAGAAATGCTATATGATTTGGTAATCAATTTTATGTAATCCTTTCATCTTGTAAACGCTACTCGAATACGTTGTTAAATAATCTATGTATGACAGATATGTTGATGTATGAAATGAATAAAAAATTATTCTTCAATTGATATTTTTTCTGATTGATTTTTGGCATGTTAATGGTTTTTATAATGTTTTCTTTAAATCTGAGTTTTGATTTCTGTTTTTTCTTTCAGTTAATTTAATTTGTTTGGTTCAGATTATTCTGATTGAAGATTAGGTCGATATTATAGTATGAAATATACAAATGCCACAATGCCTATAATTGAAAAGATTAATAAATGCAACATGTTAATCGGTGGGAAATACGTTTTCATTTACTTTCCATATTAACCTTTATACAGAAGAATTATTCGTCGGTAAACTTTTTCACAAACATATGCATTTAATTCTTGCGTTGATTTTTTGTGCGTAATCTTTATCTCCAAAACTACTAATATATATGCTATTTCAATTTTATGATCGTTTCAGGGCGTAGTACTAAAAAGGAGGGACCGATATGGAGAACGCCCACACGAAATCAACCGATGAGGTCTTACAGTATTTCGGTGTCAGTGGTGATGTTGGCCTTACCGAGAAACAGGTTCTTCAAAACAGAGAAAAATATGGCTCCAATGGTATGCGTTGTTTTAACATTTTCCACATAAACAGCAAAATATCTCAAAAGAATTTTTGTATTTTAGATGTTTTGTGCACTTCTGTAATTCCGTCTCTGTCTTAGATATTTGATATGCAATAATTCTAACGTAATATTCTGACATTCCATTTAATTAATTTTAGGACTTTGCGGTCAAATGGGAAATTGTTTGGGAAATGATAACAAAGGAACAAACTCTGGAAAATGTTCCTTGTAGTAATCACATGGACTGTTTTGAGAAATTTATTAAATTCTGGTTAATTGGAATTCTTTTTAAAACTTCAGGACTAAAAATTCTTTTTGAACTTTAGAACTGCCAGCTGAAGAAGGGAAGAAATTATGGGAATTAATATTGGAACAGTTCGACGATCTCCTTGTCAAAATTTTGCTTCTTGCTGCTATCATTTCATTCGTAAGTATATGTATTTATTTTTGAAAAATTTATCAGTGCTTTGAAATAAATATCAGTTTCCTTTTTTTGTGATCATTTTATAATTTTTAAGGTGCTAGCCTTATTTGAAGAACACGACGATCAAACATCAGCGGTCACTGCATTCGTTGAACCTTTTGTAATTTTGCTTATCTTAATAGCAAATGCAACGGTCGGTGTTTGGCAAGTAAGTTTATTTATTTATTTTTATAGCTCTTCATATTTTATCGTTACATTGTCATTTACAGCAAGGAAACAAACTGAATTTAGCTGGAACTATCAGGCAGTAAAATTAAGACTAAGTGATTAACTGTGCTGAATATTAGACCAACCATACTGAATATTCGAACAGTAAGAATTCCTGCGATACTGTTACAATTTACCCTGCTGCAGTAAACATTTCACTTCACGAGATAAATCTCATTTTTTTTTTTTACCAAAATTAATAGACTGGAATTTTTCATTGAACTGAAAAACTGGAGCGTGTTCACCTTCAGTAGAACTATGAATAATCAAATTTTTGTTTCATTAAATTTGATTTTTAATTTTAATTTGTTTTTCAGGAGAGGAATGCCGAAAGTGCTATAGAAGCTCTTAAAGAATACGAACCAGAGATGGCAAAAGTAATGCGTGAAGGGAAGCACGGAATTCAGATGATTCGTGCTAATGAACTTGTGCCGGGTGATATCGTTGAGGTTTCAGGTATCTTTCAGTGAAGAATATTTTTCATACTTTTTTTGGATGTTTTCTTTTTTTTATATTAAGATAGTAGAAATCGTGTTATATTCTGAAATCAATGAATTAAATTCTGTCGACGTATCCTTGTGATCGTCCGCTTTGTTCTTTCACTCAGCAAATTATATAATTTTACATCCTTATCGATTATTGTTGCATAGCGGATATATTCAACAATATTATTGTATCTTCAAAAAATGTGCAACAGTAGTGGAAAATTATAATCACTGTTAGAGTAGATCGATACAAACCTGATTGCACTATTGATTTGTCCCATTCACTTACTTTGCAATACTTTCAGAATATATTACTGTTTTAATCTGCTTGTTTGTACAAAGAATTATCATTATTTCAGTGGGTGATAAAATTCCCGCAGATTTACGTTTGATAAAAATTTATTCAACAACATTGCGTATTGATCAATCAATCCTTACCGGTGAATCAGTTTCTGTAATTAAATATACGGATAGCGTACCTGATCCAAGGGCTGTTAATCAGGATAAGAAGAATTGTCTTTTCTCCGGAACAAACGTTGCTGCTGGGAAGGTATGTATATTTTCTTAAATTATTAGCAGATGGGATATTGATTGCTATGAATGCGCGTAAAGATCATATTAATACTATCTATTTTAGGCTCGTGGTGTTGTTTTTGGTATTGGGTTAAATACGGAAATTGGTAAAATCCGTACCGAAATGGCTGAAACTGAAACCGATCGTACACCGCTACAGCAGAAACTTGATGAATTCGGTGAACAGTTGTCCAAAGTGTGATTTGCTTTGTTTTCATTCATCACTTTTTGGAATTTGAATTAAATCTAGAAATTTGTAAACACATTTCCCGCAAACTTTTATTTTAATTTGTAGTTTTTTTCAGTGAAAAATCTTCCAGGTTATTTCAATTATTTGTGTGGCTGTGTGGGCGATCAATATCGGTCACTTCAACGATCCTGCTCATGGTGGTTCGTGGATCAAAGGTGCTATATATTACTTCAAAATTGCTGTTGCGCTTGCTGTTGCTGCTATCCCAGAAGGTTTTTTTGTTTACATTTAATGAAGAAAAAAGATATTTGTTATTGGATAAATTTCGGAAAACTATTGTAAACATAAATCGAACTTTCACATTTCTTCAAATCTTTGAAATTGATATGTAATGATATATGCCTCTCACCTTACACATTCATTTGACGTTTGGTGTTTAGAAACTGAGGACGTGATGGCATTGAAATTAAGCGAATTTTGTCTGCATATTAATATTATAGGTCTTCCTGCTGTTATCACAACTTGCTTAGCTTTGGGCACACGTCGAATGGCTAAAAAAAATGCTATTGTGCGTTCGTTACCATCAGTGGAAACTTTGGGTTGTACTTCCGTAATTTGCTCAGATAAAACCGGAACACTTACTACTAATCAAATGAGTGTTTCGAAAATGTTTGTTGCAAGCAAAGTAACCGGCGACGATATTGATTTCCTCGAATTTACTATTAGCGGATCAACTTATGAACCATCAGGACAGGTAGCAAATTTGATTTACTTTATTTAAATTATTTGTTTTGCATTTTAATTATATGTCTCTTCAACTAATTCTATCAATATTTAACCGGAAAGAAATTCTGCAATAAATGACATAGTATTCGTAACTTTTATTACAAATGGTTTTTTGCATAATTTCTATAGTTTTGTAGAATTTTGGTAGGATATATTTGAATAAAACAAAATTTTTGTATATGGCTAAGCAGTGCTTTATCTGGAACGGATATTTCTCATAAGATTGTGAACATTAATAATCATTTGGGATGAAGTGGTTAGCAACTGAGATTGGTTATTATTTACATTTCGCTTCTTCTGATCAAACGATACGATCAGTAAAAATAGATGTCACGTTTCAACAAAAAATTTTTATACTTGATTGAAACTTGATTTTTTTTTCAGGTATTTCATCATGGACGGCAAATAAACTGTGCAAGTGGTGAATTTGAGGCTTTAACAGAATTGGCAACTATTTGTGCAATGTGCAACGACTCTTCTGTTGACTATAACGAAGTATGATATAAGTTTAATTTTTCTTTTTTTTTTTTGCAATTCTGATATGAAAAATTAACTATAATTTTCATTTTAAGCTTTCAGAATATAGTGTTTTAACCAGTAGTTATCAGAGGTTTCACAAATTACTTTTAGGGCTTTGATTGTCTTGGCATGTTGTAATTTACGGAGTTTAAGATGAAATGGAATAATTAAAACATTGAAAATGTTTGTTTATATTTTCCAGACGAAACATATGTATGAGAAAGTTGGTGAAGCAACGGAAACAGCATTAGTTGTTTTATGCGAAAAAATGAATGTATATGGAACGAATAAAGTGGGCTTATCACCTCGTGATCTGGGAAATGTTTGTAACCGAGTGATTCAACAAAAATGGAAGAAAGAATTTACTTTGGAGTTTTCACGTGATCGGAAAAGTATGAGCGCATTTTGTATACCATCATCCGGTGGGACGAATGCAAAAATGTTTGTGAAAGGAGCACCAGAAGGTTACTTTCATTATATATTCTGTGCTAAAGTATCAAATCTTTTCTTGAATTTAAAGAATAAAATTTTGGTGTCGAAATTTCCAGGTTACCTCATTTCATAAACCAGAACATGGAGATTGAGAAGACACATTAAATTTGTTTTAAAGTTTTTTTACGTTTTTTTTTTTTTTTTCTTTTTTAAACTGTATCACAGCTTTATGCATGCTTGTATAAATGAGACTAGGGAGAAGTATGATGCTCTTATTATGTGCCCAAGCGCTGTGCTGGATATACTGGCAACTTGTAAGAAAAATTGTAGGGTCATAAAAATACTTTTCGTAAAAAAAGAAAAGTAAGAGTATAGTAGTTTGCTTCGCATTTTTTAAAGAAAATGTGCATATAAATCATTTATCAGAAATATGTAAATGCCCAAGTTTATTTACAAATGCTTTTTGAATTATTGCCTCAACTATCAAATATCTGTTTTACTGTTTTTCTCATGATTTCTTCTTTTAGGTGTACTAAATCGGTGTACTCATGTTCGAGTGAATGGACAGCGTATACCATTAACACAAAAAATAACGCAGAAAATCGTTGATCAGTGCATTCATTATGGTACCGGACGGGATACTTTACGATGTTTAGCTTTGGGAACAATCGATAGTCCTCCAGATCCTCGCACGTAATTTATTATCATTTTTTGAACGGAAAAAAGTGGGGGATGATGTTGTAGTGTAAAATTTGAATAGTTTTTTTTTTTTCCCCCAAGTCGCATGATATCTCGAATGTAATCACTTGTATTAATTACATTTAAAAACCAAACAATTAATCTTACTGTACTGTAGTGAAATTTTCGGCACATATTCAAATGATACAGAAATGTTTTGTAGTATGAATTTGGAAGATTCGTCACAGTTTATACTTTACGAGAAGGATATAACATTTGTGGGCGTTGTTGGCATGTTAGATCCACCACGAGCAGAAGTGATTCCTTCAATTAAAGAATGTCGTATGGCCGGTATCCGAGTTATCATGATCACCGGTGATAACAAAAATACTGCAGAAGCTATTGGTCGTCGTATTGGACTTTTTGCTGAGGACGAAGATTCTACCGGTAGTATCACCATAATTTCATTTACAAAATCACTTAAAAATGAAAATTTCATGTTCCAATTTTATATGTTAATGGCTATGATATATGCGATTTATTTATTTGTCGAGTGAATTATGGTGTATTGCTGAATTAATATTGCCATTACTGTAGCTGTTATTGTTGTAAACAAGATGAAAAATATGGTTGGGATCATTCGGAATAAAAAAAAAATAATGACTTTATCACAATATGGAAAGAATTTCAGGTAAGGCATTTACCGGACGGGAATTTGACGATCTACCACCAGAGCAACAAAGCGATGCTTGCCGACGAGCTAAACTTTTTGCACGTGTTGAACCCACTCATAAATCAAAAATTGTTGAATTTCTTCAGTCCCATGGTGAAATTACTGCCATGACTGGCGATGGAGTAAACGATGCACCAGCACTGAAAAAATCCGAAATCGGTATGGTACTAGCAGTTTGAATATTTGTATTCATATGATGCACTCTCATAATGTTTGCTTGTAGTAGTGAGTAGCCAAGTTTCAGATAAGTATGAGGAGCAAGTTTAAATCATTATAGCACTCATTGATAACTAAGTAGTATGGTTTTAGAGTTGTATTTGTGACGTATATAAAAATGATACATTTCATTATAAAAAGAATGTTATTTTTGCGATATTTCATCTCATAAGTTACGATGACATGTGCTATGCAAACGTTATCACGATTAAAGATGCATTATTTAAATCATTTTCTGATTCTTCTCATTCCTTCAAGTACTTCTATTTGCTGATTCTATCCTTTTTTGCAAAAGTTAATTATTTTTGATTTCAGGCATTGCTATGGGTTCAGGAACAGCTGTTGCAAAAACAGCGTCAGAAATGGTTCTAGCTGATGATAATTTTGCGACAATTGTTGCTGCTGTTGAAGAAGGACGAGCTATTTACAATAACATGAAGCAATTTATTCGTTATCTTATTTCATCAAATATTGGCGAGGTTTCACAAAGTTTAATATATTTCTTATTCGAAAGCGAGATTTTTTCAGATCAATATTTTCGCTTCATTTTTCTTAGTTAGAAAATGAAAATTAGTTTGAAATAATCTTATTTTTTTCCAAATTGAATGAAAAAACCTAGATGGTTGCGTTTCGAATTTATGGAAAATAAGGATTTTAAAAGTTTTTCAAAATCTATTCACACTGCTAGTTTAAATATTAGCACTTCGAAATGTTGAATAATTCGGAGCAGTTTAAGGATGAGATTTTAAGAATGAAGAACTAACTGAATCCTAAACTGCGTTACCTCTCTTTCTGAAATGTCTAATTATAATAAAACAGTGTCGAAATATAATAGCTTGGTCTTTTTACACAAGCATGTGAATCAATTAGATGGAATTAGAAGGTCAGAATGTTTAAAAATAGATAGTCTGAATTTATTGATTCCTGAATAAAGAATTTTTCAGGTTGTATCGATTTTTTTAGTAGCAGCATTAGGCATACCCGAAGCATTAATTCCCGTTCAGCTACTGTGGGTGAATTTAGTCACCGATGGTCTTCCGGCTACTGCTTTAGGTTTTAATCCTCCGGATCTGGATATTATGGACCGACCACCACGTTCTGCTGGAGAGTCGCTTATCTCGAAATGGCTTTTCTTTCGTTACATGGCTGTCGGATGTAAGTTTTTATTGTCATATTAAAATAACTTCTTTTTAAAAAAAGAAAGTTTCTGGTGATGCTGTCTGTCTGGATTATTTATGATGCATCACTACAGAATGTTAACAGAAATGCAAAAAAAAAAAAAAATTTCTAATCACTTATTACTCAAATTTCTTTGTATACTCTTCCCATTATTGTGCAATCTTTTCCACTGAATGATCGAAATGACTGAAACATGAAATAAAAATGAAATTAATTTGATATTTTTTTTGCACATCTGTTTCTCTTTTTTTAGCATATGTTGGATTAGCAACTGTTGGTGCAGCGATGTGGTGGTTTTTGTTGTATGAAGATGGTCCACAGATCAGTTATTACCAATTGACACATTGGATGCGTTGCGAAATTGAACCAGAAAACTTTGCCGATCTTGACTGTGCTGTTTTTGAGGATGCACATCCGAATGCAATGGCACTTTCAGTTCTAGTTACAATTGAAATGTTCAACGCACTAAATAGGTTTTCTTTTTTCTTTTCGATGTAGCAGATTTTCTGCACTGTTAAATCAGTAGTCAGGTTTTATCTGTTCTAGTTTACTTCTGCAGCTAGGATGAAATAACTTAGGAAAAAACTGCTATTACAAATCCTTTGACGTTGTATTTTTACTTAATAGCTTTTAGAATTCCTAGATAACCATTGCCATGATGTACTTTTGGAACCAAAATTTTCAAAAGAATTTCTTGATCATAGTTATTAATGTGTTGAAGGAATAAACAAATTGAAATATTTATTTACGGTTGAAAATGTGCAATTTACAGTTTATCGGAAAATCAATCGCTTTTGGTAATGCCACCATGGAAAAACATCTGGTTGATGTCATCGATAGCTTTATCGCTGTCATTACATTTTGTTATCTTATACGTGGAAATTCTGGCAACGATCTTCCAGATTACACCACTTACACTAGTGGAATGGTTCGCAGTGCTAAAAATTTCATTCCCCGTTATTCTTCTGGATGAAGTTTTGAAATTTATCGCTCGAAACTACATCGATGGTGAGACTGTTTGCCGTATCGGTGATTATGAAAAGCCAGTCAAGAAACGTGTGTCACATACCCTACTTACTGTTGTTATGCTAACCACGCTTTGTGTTGGTTACTTTTATTGGCTTTTGAAACCATATTGGTCACAACTAATGCATGCTTTTAGTATGGATCTACAATCGAATTCAAACAGTTTTCATTCACATTCGCATGATGATTTATGATAAATTAATTTTTCATGTCTTACTTATGTGGGTATTTAAACTAGCAACTAAATACAACGTACGGAAACTTGTTTGATTTTCTTCCACCTGTGCCATCTGAAAAGTGTGATGATAATTCGTCTACAGAGTGTTGTGGTAAATTTCTGAACTTAAATATTTACTTTCATTTTTAAATCCTACTCGTCTTACTCATTTTTGCAGATTAATTTAAAGAATTTTTCAAACTTAATGGAAAAATTTCGAAAGTTTAGATTATGTTTCTTACCACATTTTTTTTTCCCTCTTCATTTGCACCTCCTATGTTTTTTTTTTTTTTTTTTTCTTTCTCTTTCCTTCCAATTCCTTCTTAATCATTCTATTTAGCTTTCATTCTATACCTAGAATTACCAGTGGAGAAGAGAAAAAAAGAAGGAAAATATTGATAGATTATAAAGAGTGAAATTATGATGAGAGTAAATCATGACTTGTTTCCTTCTATTGTTGCTTATATTAGAAGTGCTCTTCACTTTTGTTCCGCTTATTTACTTATTATATACAACTTCAACTATTTCTTTTTCAGCAATTTGATTAATTGTCACTTATTTGAACAAAGAAAAAACTTTTGACATTTTGATGTGTTCTTTTTTTTTTCTTTTTGCTGTTGGGAAAATAATTTGTTAGTTTTGGTGCTCAATAATTTTACACTAACAAAACATGTAATTTGGATATATCAAATGATTAGATATAAATGAGTTGAAGCAAAAATGAAAAAGAAAAGTGCTGCATTTACATTTTAACATATTTTGTTTGACATAGTTAGAATTTGTGATGGAACAGTACAGCATTAATTTCTTTGAGCATCGTTTTATTTGAATCAGTACAACGTTTTATATCAATAATTGAACTCACTTTTTTTGGAATGGTTTATTTTCTTATGTTAAAAAAATGGTATTTTTGTATTGAAAGATATTTTTATGTTTCGTATTCATTTTCTTACCGCTTAAAACTATTTAGGTGAAAATTTTTGTAATTTCAAAAATTCTGTTTAGCAATTCTTTCAGTTAAAGCACTAGGGAAGTGATTAGAAGAGGAACGGTAAGCACTATGGCAAAATTTTTGAAATGAAAATGAGTATCATCTGGAATATTTTGAATGTGGTTGCATATATTATCAAAATAGTTAGGATTTGAATCATTTTATTGAATCATTTTAGGATTTGAGATAAGTTTTATTGGAGGGATTATTGAGAGAAATGTAAATTTAAGCAACAAAGTGGCTCTTTTCTCTTAAATTATTGTCTATTTTTTTTTTCCAGAAATTGTTAATATTTCGCAACAAATAAAGTGTCAGTGAATTTCGTATCTTTCATTGTTATTCATTGTTTTCCTTTTTGTTCTGTTTTACTAGAAAATATTATAATTAATTATTATTATTATTAATTGTAGTAAAAAGATCTGTTTTGCTTTTTAAATTCGTTGCTTCCATTATAAATTATTATGTAAGATATTGTTTAATATATGCATGATTTTATTTAATCAATGAAACAAGCTAACAATGCGAATTTCCTAAAGAATTTTTCCGAATAACCGGAATGGAATGCTAATAACAAAATGAGTTTTCAGTTTTTTTAATGAAAAACTATGATTAATTTTTTTTCGAAAATTTACTTTGTATGTTAGTTGATAGCTGGAGTAGTTCATAATGAATCAGTTTGATGTGATAGTTAACAATTATCCATAAACATAACAGTTATGCTAATATTTGCTGATCAAAGAACAAAAGGGAAGGTTAGATCGATTGTTGTCGGTGGGATATGGAAAGTTCTATTCAGGTCAAAGGTTAATCACCTATCTAGAGATTGCAGAGGAGTGTCAATCGCATGGCATAAGAATTAATTTGAAATTAACAAATTTACTGTGTGGTCTTTAGCAAGAAATGTGGCAATTTTAGGGTGAAAAGATTTCTTTAAGCTATTTTTATTATTTTTAAAAATTTTTATGCTAGTAAGCAACAATATTATAGATATTAGCTTGCAAAAGTTGATGAGAATTTATTTTCTGGAATTAAGTGAAGTTTTACCTTCATATAGATTAATTAATGCAGAGTGAATAATAATTTTATGATTTATTTATGCTAGAATCTCAAAGATGAAAAAGTTTTAGTGTTAAGGTAAATGTAATTAAGAAAATAGGAAAGCAATTTTAAAAAAAAAATCTTAAATTTATTTAAAAAATTTTTAGCTTAAATAAAAGGTAAAATATTTTCAGTACTTTCGGAAGAAGTAATCAAAAAAGAATTGTGAGATGAAAAACGCGAATGAATGATGATGGATGATGCAAGGAGTAATAAAAAAAGAAAAAAACAAAAAAAAATCCTATTGAGCAAAAGTTGAGGTCAAATTGAATGTATGCAAAAATATAAAAATAGTGTTGTTATTATGTTATATTATGGTCCCATATAAAGAAAAGGTCATTCTATAAATGAAGAAGGGTCATTTATTTAACCTTTTGTTTTCAAAAGTTTAGGAATAATTTCATTTTAACACGTTTTGCTAGCACATTCACATTTTTAGTAGTATTGTCACCTATATGTCATCTATGAAAATTCGCAAAACCCTTCTTATCATTCAATTGGAAAAATGATTGTTATCATTTATAAAATGTGCAGTTAAAATTTATACGTGAAAATCAATTTTATTTGCAATTTATAGATTAATTTAATTTAAAAAATTTATTAGAAAACTTTTCAGTTCTTATCATCTATTTAATTTATTTGAATAGTGAGAGCAAGAAAAGTGTGTCATCAATCTTCTATTTTCTTTAGCTTTTTCTTCCCTCTTTTTCAAATTAAATAAATATTTTTCTTTTTGTTTCTGAGTTTTAACAAATTCATTATTATAGATTTTAATAAATTCGATAATTAATATCAAAACTTTAATAGTATGTTTTATGGACTCTTTCATTTCCTTTTTTTTTTTTTTTTTTTCAGCAATTGATAGTTTTTGGGGAATACGAATGATTATAATGATTGCATTGATAATATTAAATCAGTGATAATTCATTTTGAATTTATTTCTTTCCTTAATATTGCTATCATACTTGTAAAATGTAAAATTTGATAATTTCTTTGTTTCCTCTCTTTTTCTTTTTCATTACTAATCAATCTTCAAATATTTTAACATAAAAATTTCTTTTCTCAGTCGTTTTTTTTTTTTTTTTTTTAGATATTTAGCATAGATATGAAAATTAATTCTGATAGTTAGCATTTTCAATTTTTCTTTTCTTTTTCCCTCTCTCTCTCTCTCTCTCTCTCTCTCTCTCTCTCACCACTGTCACATTTGTGCCACAATTAATTTATTTGCATTAGGCTATTATTATTTCAAAAATTAAGCCTAGTTAAATAATTCAGATAGCTTCTTCTTCTTCTTTTTTCATTTTGTATCTTTGTATAACATAAAGATCAGCACCACAGTTTGCTTGGCCTACTATCACTATAGATGAAGAAATAAAAGCTTGGGTAATAATATTCTTAGCTAATTTAATAAGATATTAATTCAAATTATTTCATTACATTTCACATTTGTAATTTGCTCTTTCTTTTTTTCATTTAAAGAAAAAAGTGTAATTTTTGTTAGCAACTATTTTAAGTAAGTGAAAATTATGTTATTTGAAGAAATAATTGAATTAATCGATTTTTTTTTTTTTGAAAAATGAAAATATTTCTTTTAATTATACAAATGTGCTTATTTTAAATAGGAAAAATGGTATAAATATGTGCTTGAGTGTTATTTCAATAAATACAAATGATAAATGAGTTTGAATTTCAATTTTAATTACTCTTTGAGAGAAATTATCTAACAAAAATGGAAAAATATTAAATGAAAAAAAAAAAAAAAATTGCCATTATTTATATAAGAAAATCATTAATTCCTGTGATAATTGTATCATTTTTTTCATTGATAGAAATAGAAACAATAAGCAAATGTAGGAAATGTCAGAAAATTAAAGACGAAGAAAGATTAAATGCAAAAATTTGTCAATGAAATAAAAGAAATTTTTGGAAATATTGATAACAAATAATTTAAATTTAAAAAGATTTTATGCTTTTTCTTCCATTCAACAATTTTGATGAAATCATTGCAATTTATAAAAGTCAAAATTTTAAAATAACTGAAAGTTCCTTTCTTTTTTTAATATAATCAATCATTTTAAATAATCAGTCATCAGCCATTCGATTGATCAAAAGAATATTTTCATTTTCAATTTATTCTTGCTTTTATTCTAATACAAACAAATAAATACTAAAACTTAACAAATCGCAGATAAGATTGTAAGAATTAATTTTCACAATGAACCACTAATCAAGAGACCGGGCCGCACTACTTAGGCCAGAATTTGGTGGCAGCGGTGACTTTTTGGTTTACCATTTTCTGTTAAATGTTTTGGGGATGGTTGGTGGTTCCTGGTGGAAGGTTTCTGGGGTTTTATGTTGTGGCCATAATAAATTTAAGTATTTGATTATTATTGTCATTATCATTAATCATTATTATTATTATTACTCTTATTATTACTGTTGCTATTATTATTACTTCTTAAATTTTAGTGGAAACTTATTTCTACTGGATGATACTATTAAATATGTTACATCATTCCCTAATCGAATATTCAATTTCTTAATGGTTATACTGTTTAAATAGGTTTTCGCCTTAATTTTTAATTAATCATTAAATGTTATCTTATTTACTTAGCTAATTGCTTATGAGTTCCTCGTGTTTAAGGCATTTCATTGTGTTATGTTTGATTATGTTATATTTAAATAGTAAGTTCAGATTTAAAATTTTTAGTTATTTAATTATTTCTTCTACTTATATAATTTGCAGTATGATACGATATTTTATTCCACGTTACAAAGCAACCGTATTACTAAACGTTATGTTTGCTATGATGCTCGTCCTTTTCGTAGTATTCTATGCACGTAATCTTTTGCAGTTTCAATTTCTTGCACGGAAAGTATGCATTTTT